CAGCGCTCCTGTCCAATCCGGTGCGGCAGCGAGCGAGCCTCTATCCGGGTGCAAAAACTGATTAACATTACGAGCCAACGACAAGTGCTCTAAATTTTGATATTTTGTTAAGAGACCATATTAACAAAAATTGGCGCTTGAGCTGAAATACCGTATGCCAAAATTTCAAGCTAATTGGACAAAAGCTGAAGAAATTATCGCCGAAAAACAGGGTCTCATGGGGTCTGAAATGCATAGTAGGGTCATGAAATTCACACACAACAGAGTTCCCCATGGCCCCCACCTACCCTCCAAATTTCGTCTTTCTAGCTCCAGTGGGAGCTGAGATTTTAGGGGGGGGGGCGACATCTGCCCCCCCTTCCACTGGGCGTAGTACTCGCAACCCTTCCACTGCGCGTGTTAAGATCCTAGGTCATCGTCTGGAAAATCGGAACCTGTTAGAACGTCTGAAAGTGTGAATTCTATGGGGGTTTTCGGGGTGCTGATCACGAATATCATGCTAGTTTTGATCACAGATGATGTCTTCATTCATTTAGACCAGATCGGGTCAGGTCAGGTCAGGTCAACCAGTAGAGGTCCTGCCGGGTATTCGTAGTAGATGTCAACCGCCTCTGACAGCTTCGTAACATGTTACGAAGGCACCAAAACTACTTCGTAAACGTTCATATGGTTGTTAAATTCGAATTCAGCTCAAAAACTGGCCTAGAAACATGTAAAACTCGAAAAAGTGAACCGAGGTCACCAAAGGTCAACAACCAGACCTGACCTTCAGGTGACCTTGAAACCCACCCTAATGCATGGGGGCAACATCATATCACATGTTTGAACGCTTGAAACCACGAAAAGACTTCAAAAGCGCTGCTAATGCGAGCCGACATTCGCCGAATCGCGATTCCGGCCAAACATGGTCTCGAAAAGTAGGTCACAGGTCAAAGGTCCTTTGGGTCAGGGTCTTTAAATTTTCAGGGTAGGTGTAAAGTTGATTAACGCGAGGGTACTGAAAGTTTCGTCGCGATCGGCCGCTTTTTACGCGAGCTATTCGCGAAAACCGAGGGGGGGGGGGTGTCCGTTCGACCCCCTATACGAGCGAGGGTTAAGAATGCGCCAACCCAGCCAGCAATTCGGTTGGGGAAAGTGCGGGGACAGTGTTGGGGAAAGCTTGGGGAGAACGTACAATTCCCCTATCGGATCGGGGAACGGTCCATGTTCCCCATCCCTTCCCCGACTGTATCGGTAATATGTTCAAATGACATGGGGAAATCACACCGATCCCCGTACGGGGAAAGAGCAGCATTCCCCAATCAAACCCCACTGTTGGGGTTCGGTCGGGTAAAAGATCAGATTCCCCGTACGGGGAAGGGTGCGTTATCCCCGACCCATTTTCAAGAACAGTTTGATTGGGGAAAAGTAGGGGAACTGTTGAAATTCCCCGCTCGGGATTTTACACTTAATCCCCAGACGAATCCCAACCGCCAGTAGGACGTCTTGAGATCGACTTCCAGCATGTAATATTCAATAAAGAAAAATTGAATCTTGGGAATGTTAAAAGCAGTCTAAGGAGCAGTTCTAGAGCTATAGGCTCATGCATCGATTGAAGGGAGATATAATAAATAAAAAATATAACGATATAACGATTTTTTATAATCGTTTTCATGACAGGTGATCTGGCGAATGCATCAAACAGTGACCAAATTTGCACCAAATCTCTTTTTCATATCTTCATATCATGTAGGTACCTATTTATTTCAGTGTTTTAATCGAAAATAATGTCTGATAATTTTATCAAATCGGCATCGTATCTGGACCAAATGTCTACCAATTGTGTACCAGTTACCTATCATGAAAACGGTTATTCGCAGACATTTGATTGTAGACATTGGATCTATGTAATTTTCGACCTAAAAGAGAGGAAAAGCCGTCTTGGTTTACGGGGCCTGCTAAGCCGTGTGGATGAGGACACGCATACGCCATTACTTTGAACGAACGTTGGTGCCCTTATTTCATGAGGTAAAAACAGCTTTGACAACTTTCAGGATCTATGTTTCTTCTCGCACTGCTGTGGCATAAACATTACGTTTTCTTTCTTCTGTCATCACTCATCGCATTGAAATTACAAAAGCATCAAAATTTCAACAACACACTGCTTACGACTTAGAAGTGTCGCCTCAACGCAGCGAGGGGAGGGGAGGGAGGGGTAGCAACGGCCGGCCGCCGTCGGTTCCGTCCGCACATCTGGTTGAGGGGCGTCTTCTGTCGCCATCTGTCATCGTGAATGGGGCCGTGCTGACGCGTCAGACGGGACGAACGGGGGAAGTCGGTCCAGAGTCACTGCGCCGCGCGGTTGTGTGAGCAAGCCGTGGGCTAGGTACCGCTCCAGGTCAGACAATGGTTGGCACTGAAGAGTGCAGTGACACTACAGAGCTGTGAACGAAGACGGTGAACGGCGAGATGTGGTGACCGCTTGACTGACCTGTGCCCAAAGTCGTGATCTACCGCTGGGGTCAGTGCGTGAGAAGCTGGACTCGGCAACAACGGAGGACGCAGATCGACGAGGAAGATATGCTGTGTTGGTAATGAACTAAAGCACTTAATTGTAACGAATCATGATAGATATAAAATGACGATGATACTAACTCAAATTTATTGTAAAAGACAAAGCTTCCGATACACACAATATCTTGATCACTGTCTAGGGTATGCAGAATATGACGTAAAAATGACTGAGGTCATCAACCTCCGTCTGAGATTATCCTTAAATTGCCCGGACAATATAATGTCATCAGCCTAATGCTTTATCTGCTTCTGTTCTAGAGGGACGTCTGCCGGTTACGACCGGAAGGCTTCCGACGGACTTGGCAGAACCCACAACAGCAGTATGAACCCGGCGTGGAGTTAATGCGTAATTGCTCGCATGAGCAACCGAAGAGCGACTTCCAGGCGAAGCTGGTAAGCAGTTTATGGGGGTGGGGGTTAGCTTAGAGCTGTTGAACAACCTGTCCTTCACCCAAGTCTAAAGGCTGAGACACACTCTTTCTACAGCCAGAAAATCTCATGCGAGAGCCCATTAATTAAATACATGAAATCACGATCGCTTACAGGGATGTGCGAACGATTGACGCGATTGTAATAAATACATGTATTTGAATAGGCTTTCGCATTCCATTTTTTTTTGTCTTCCGAAAGAGCCTGTTTCAGCAGCTCTACTTGACAGCTCTGTTTGTGAAAGGAACTTCATTGTTATCTTGATAAACTAGCAACCGATTTTAATTGTCAAACGGCGTTCATTTATCTGTCAAGTGCTTTCGCGAGGAACTTCGTAAGGCGTAATATAGACGTAAAACATTTATTAGCTAATGACTTTCCTGGAATGAGAAATGTTTAGAAGTACAAATTTAATTATTGAATATTTATTTCCTCTTTTAATTAACTATTCAAAGTATATCACATTCATTTTTAAGCACTTTTCGTGGGAAAAAGCTATAAATAAGTGTAATTTCATAAAATGGCATTCAACATGTTTTAGCGTAAGCTGAAGTTTCCATAAAAGGACATTTCATGTAGTAGCTAGCTGTAAAACCTGATTGATATACCTACAAGTGCACATTTTTTGTTTTTGTCCACAGCCGCAGAATTCCTGGAGATGCGCTGGGACATGGATAATAGCAAAGTGGCTCTCAGCGGCAGCTGACCGCTGAGATGTGTCTGAAACAGCCAGAAGGAAGACTCGAGTTGTGGATCCAGGGCACTACTGAACGGAAGGCCGGACCAGCTGTAGGGAGACTACAGAAAAGCCGTCGTTCTCAATCTGCTGAACAGACTCCTACTGCAGAGGATCAACTGGGGTTCGACGTGTTAGAACTGGGGTTAGACCGGTTACCAGTGCTCGTGTTCGTCACCTGTTGTTTGTCACTGCTGCGCTGCTGCTGTAATGTTTGCCACCTGCTAAGCGTTCACAATGTATTTTAAGTGAATAATAACTTTTTTAGTGTTTGTCTTGATTTGTAACGAGTATATCAATTATCAAGCATGTTAACCTTTCATCAAATGAAGGACTCCACATAAAAATAGTATAGGCTGTGGTGGTACAGACACATACCATGCTTGGCCGACTGTTGTGTATTGATCTAGTCGTTGAAGCGTCCTGAAAGTCTGGAAATAAACAGGCATGGCCAAATGGATTGGTTCTAATTATTTTCCTGTGTGGTTTTATCGTTTCTCTATTGCGGGGAAACAAGTGGACAATTTTGTTTGTATGTAAACAAGTATGTTTATACAAATATTTGTATGTTTACAGACAAAATAAATAGTCATTGTCAATTTTAATGGGACCCGATTTGTTTCCCAGTGCGGTTTATTACTGGCTTCTCCGTACGGGGAAAAAAAAGCAGACAAGGCAGTAGGGCCATTGCTAAGTCGGGGAACGGCCGGGGCTCGCGCAGGGAAAAGGTCTGGGAACGTTAGGGGAAAATCACGGTTTCCCCGATCGGGGAAGGTCTCCAGCAAGTATAAACCCGTATAGCCGGGTGGGGGAATGTGCGGGGCTCGCACAGGATCTTCTTGGGGAAAATGTTCGATAACCCCGTACGGGGAACCGACCTTAACAACGGGTTTTAACCATAGTCGGCGCGGGGGTAGCTTGGGGGACGTTTGGGGAACGCTTGGGCAGTTATACCGTTTCCCCGTACGAATCCCGCACAAAGTTCCCCGTACAAAGTGTCTCAAATCCCAAGCGAACGCTCCGTTTTCCCCAAGAGAACGGTTGGGGTTTCCCCGAGCCTGCCCCAAGCTCGCCATAGGCCTTCCCCGTAACGGGGAAAGCTCCGATTTGCTGGCTGGGAAATTTGAGTGCCATCAGCCCAGTCGTTCTCGAGCTCTGGAAGCGATCCCTGCAAGTAAGCACGTGCAGAAGCACCCCAACTGCGACACATGAAAATACATAACCTACATGCTACGTTTTAGCGGAATCGCCCCAGTACTTGCCGAGTTATTGAAAAAGGGGCAAATTTAACACCTCTTTATTTTGCACGTGGCACATGCAGTGCACTGTAAAAAATATTTAGAACCTAAGGTGGTTGTAGGGTGGCTGGATCTACACCTAGTATCAATATAGTTCTAATATAAGTCGATATTTTAAATAGATGGATATTGGATAACGTACACCTTGGTTAGAACAAGACTAGTAGCCGCACCATTTCAGTACACATTGCATACTTCTCGAAGCATAAGAAACAAAATAGCACCTTTCACTGATACATAATTAGAACCCAAGGTGGTTGCAGGGTGGCTGGATCTGCAGTCTGCACCTAGTATCAATATCGTTCTCATAGATTGATGCCGTACACCTTGGTTAGAACAGGACTAGGGTCACCTACCTACACGCAATATTGTAACAGCTATTGTTAAACTACAATAAAACCCACCTGTTGCGCTTGGTGTTCTATTACATATATAAAATTCTGAAAAATGCCTATCAGTACAGTTTACAATACGCAACACACATGTCACGCCCACAAAGGGATATACACAGTTACATTTTACATGCTGTCCTTCCCCTGTTTTCATGGGACCATGCTCCTTGTCATAAGCCTTGTCAGAAAATGCCTAACCTCCTCAAACAGTTTCCAAAACATCCACACTCCTTACACCATATTTGTCTCAAAGGCTCTTAATTGATGGAGTGCCTGCAAATAATTATCCTCACCGTTGCGTGCGATAACAACTATTTTACAATACGTCATTTCGGTGTACGCGACTAAGTGGCTGGCAAACTGGGCGATAAAAAAAAAAAACAGACAGGACAGTGTAATCGGTCCTGCTAGCTTGCATACCTTGTACTAGCTAGCCGGCGGTCAGACCTCACCACGCGTCACGCACATACACACACACCGACACACCGCCACACGCTAACATACAATTATATCACAGGTGCGGCCGCTCGGCGGGCTGGCAGGGGGCGGCGGCCGGTCGGTCAGGTGTAGGGCACCCAGTTGCTGCCGTCCTCGGGCATCATCCCGCCGGAGACGAGCAGCATGATGTCCACCACCCACCAGATGCCGACGCCGCCTGTCCGACACAACGCCGCTCAGTGAGACACGGCACCGTACAACACCACTAGGCACACGCGTCTGATCAGCAAACCATGACTTATTCTTACACCTGTTAAACACGAAATATCCAGGTTTTCCTTCCGTAGTAACCTTCTGTCACCAATTGGTGACCGCAATGACAGACAAAACCATAAATCTAGGCACTGGCACATTGTAGCAAGGAGTGAGCGTTGTGACCCTCCAGACTCGGTCGTAGGCTCTCCTGCTGGACTTCGCGAGAGCCTACGACCGAGTCTGGAGGGCCGCCCTGCTCTGCAAGATGGCTCGGCTGGGAGTCCCCGGCTGCTTCATCAAGTGGCTGAGGGCCTTCCTGTCGGACAGGCGCGCCCGCGTCCGCTGGGGCGCTGCCCGCTCAGACCTCAGGGTCTTCCAGGAGGGCCTCCCCCAGGGCAGCGTGCTGGCACCGCTCCTATGGCTGGTCTACGTCAATGACATCGACGTAGCAATGCCGGAGCACGTCTCGCGGTCCCTGTTCGCGGACGACGTGGCGCTGCTGGCATGCGCCCCCACTGCCAGAGAGTGCGACGCCCTCCTCCAGCCCTGCCTGGACGCGGTGGACACGTGGCTGCGACGCTGGAAAGTCATGCCCAGCGTGACGAAGTGCACCGCCACCCTGTTCACTCTCGACCCAAGAGAGAGCGGAGGGAAGGTCAAGCCGCACCTGACGCTGCGCGGAGAGGAGCTGCCCTACTCCCGCAACCCGACCTTCCTGGGCATTAAGTTTGACCCCCAACTCACCTTCGCGGACCACATCGACGACCTGAAAGCCAAGATGTCTCGACGGAGGCGATGCCTACAGGCTCTGGCGGGAAAGACCTGGGGAAGCCACCGCCGAACCATCAGAGCGGCCTACATCGGCTATATCCGGGCCCTATTCGACTACGGCGCCGCCGTCTTCGGGACATACGCCGCCCCGTCGGTAAGAGGACGCCTCGAAGCCGAGCAAAACAAGTGCGCCCGCGTCATCACCGGCTGCCTACGTGCGACCCGGAAGGACGCCCTCCTGGCCGAGGCTGGCCTCCCGACACTCTCGCTTCGGGCCCTACAGCTGGCAGGCACGGAGTACCAGCGTGTAATCCGTCTGCCCCCGAGCGACCCGGGCAAGATCCTCTTCCGAAAGGAGGTACAGCCGCGCCTCCAACACCGAGCCTACAAGGCATGGCAAAGAACATGCAACGACGCCACCGCCGCGGGAAGACCACCGCCCAAGCCTCCAGACGAGACTGCAGCACTCCCTCACCGACCGTGCCTCAGGAGGGTCGGCAAGTGGCTCGCCGAGGAGGCAGGAATCGAAGAGCTCCCGGTGGAGCCCATGGCGCTCTACAGCTGCGACCCGCCATGGCTGGGCCACCGCGGCGGCACCACCTTCAGGGTAGACCTGCCCGTGGCCACCCGCCGGTCGGACCCGCCTGCAGTCCGCAGGGAAGCTGCCCTGCGAGCCATTGCAGAGCTCCCGCAACCGGATATTACTATCTGGTCGGACGGCTCGGCTCGCGGCGGGATGGAACAGGGCGGCGCAGGCGCGCTGATCCAGTTTCACCGCCTCAACAATGAAGAAACCGTGCGCGCTCCTGCAGGGGCGGTCTGCTCCAGCTTGAGAGCAGAGCTGACCGCCATGCGCGAGGCGCTCGCGGCTGTGGCCGGCCTGGAGGAAGGGGAGCTGGCATCAATCAAGTCGGTCCGCCTCCTCACCGACTCAAGGTCTGGGCTACAACTACTCGGCCGCGGCCCAGCTAGCCAGACCATGGCTCTGGCCGCCGAGGTCTGGAGGCTGCTGAACACCCTCGCCGAGAACGGCACCGAGACGGTGCTCCAGTGGGTGCCAGGCCATGCCGGGCTGGACGGCAACGAGACCGCCGACCGCCTGGCTGGCGAGGCCGCGGCGGGCGACCAAGATAGCGCACCGATTGACCTATCGAGTGCGCGGGCCGCCGTCACGCGCCATGTCCGGGAGCTGTCGCGACGGAGGACAACCGCTGCCCACCCGCACCCGGACCCCACGCCTGGCCACGACTCCCTGGCGCGCTGGGGGTCGGTGACGCTGTCCCAGCTGAGGACCGGCACATCACCGCTGACGCGCGACACGCTCTACAAGATTGGCCTGGCAGCCAACGACGAATGCCCCGCGTGCGGGGAGCCCGACAGCGTGACGCACATGCTGACCGATTGTCCGGCCTACGAGGCGGCCCGCCGCCGCCGCTGGGGTGTCGACCCTCGCCTGGTCGACGTCCTCGGCGGCCCGGCGGCGAGGGTCGTCGACTTCATCGAGGGTGTCGGGCGGACCGAGCCGCCGCGCGACCCGCCTGCGCCGCCGCCCCCCTGAGCGGGCTGGCGGCGGGATGCAGAAGAAGAAGAAGAAGAAGTGAGCGTTGTGGACAACTACGACTATGTGCCGACTATGTGTATGACGCCGTTTCCGCGTGGTGAGGCTCTGGCGCGCGCCGGTGCCACCCAGTGGGCCCGGCCGCGCGGCTCACTCACCCAGGGTGAGCAGCTTTCCCACGGCGGTGCCGGTCTGGCCCAGGCAGAAGCGGTCCACGCCCAGGAAGCCGAGCAGCACGCTGTACAACAGCGTGGTGGCGAAGTAGCGGTTCGTGTACCTGGGAATGCGGACACAGGTCGTCGGTTCGTGTACCTGGGAAGGCGGACACTGGCCGTCGGTTCGTGTACCTGGGCAAGGAGTTCCCCGCGCGCGGGGAACTCACGCGGCGCGCACCCACGGGGGTCTGCGCCAAGTTCTTAGAACCGACGGGGAGGGCGATTGACCCCCCCCCCGAGATCTCGAAAACGAGGCAAGATAGCGACACGCGGAAACGGCATGGGGTACGCACGTACAAGATCTACAATTTTTACAAAAGGTCATTTTCAGATCAGGTTAAAGATGATGTCACAGGGGTCAAAAAAGTCAAAATGGCGGCGCTAGAAATGAATAGTTTTTTTTTTTCTGGAATAACTTTCGAAGTAGCCAAGTTAGGAACAAACTAAGGGCAGTGTCCTGAAATTGATTTTTCGGAGAGTGTGATTGAAGCTGCGAGGACGTCGCTATTTCAAAAGGACGTCGATATCGGTGCGGAGCCTAAGCCACTAAAGCCCTTACCTAAATCTCTTAAAATTAGCGATTTTCACTGGCAATATTGACTAATACCACCTCAAGGCACCTCAAATGATCATATATAGACACAAAGTAATGCCAGTTTACCCCTAGTAAAATACAAAATTCAAGCATTCACCACAAACACCAAAACAACACTTTGAAGATGTCTAGTTCTTGTCCATGATCGTACATAACAGTCAACAACAAATATGCTTCAACAAAAATCAGCCCAAGAGCCAGCGGCTATCACTAAATATTGACGTCATAAGAGGGATATCATATCGAGCAAGACGACTGATGTAAATTACAGACGTCCAAACAAAGAGGTGGAAAACGGCTTGGAAAATTAATTTCCATAGCTTCCTGTTATGAAATTCAATTAAGAAAACTCCAAGGTGGACGCTGAATTTTTCTTGGCTGGAAAAAATGTGAAATCATTGTGCACTTTTCAGTTTTGTACCGACGTCGATTAAATGGGAATAACAAGGTCAATCGACGTCCCCAACATTGCGTGTATTTTTAAGCCAAGGACGACATACTTGAATTAATACTGTTGAAATTCGGTGGCTTTATTTTAATTCAAACAGATAAACATTAAACTTTTTCCCCAACCACTATCAACATATGCAAAATTAACTACTTTTGAAGGGCATGTTCAAGGGGCAGCGCTAACCCGTTACTGTGACCTTCTGAGGGGAAAAAATAATTAAATATGTTACAGTAATTTGATACAAAAGGTATGTTGCTTGCTTATAGAAAAATGTCCAAGTAATATATTCGCACGATTAATTTTTATCTATACACTGCACAGTTACTAAAACTGAAAAGTGGAAAACGACGTCCTCAGATCCCTCTATTCCGACATCTTTTCTCCTTCATATGGCAGCATTACCTTCACATGGTAAAGGAAAAAACTTATCCATATCTGACGCACAGAAAACAAAAATAAAATAAAACCGCGTTGTTTACTGTTGCGGCAGTTGGCCAGGAAAGGGGAGTTGAGTGTAAGAGTGAGTTTTTGAGGACTTAGGATATATTTATTGTCATTTTGCATAGCCGTGTTTTTAGGCTACAGAGGTGATATTTCTTTTTGTTAGTTTGCTTTTGGTGTTCGATATACCTATCGACTTTTATCTGTCAGGACTCAGGGACGTCGTTTGGCTTTCCGGGACGTCACAAAGAGAATCTGTTAGGTGTGGGTTTCCACCCAAATTCACGAAAATCAGGACACTGACTAAGGGCACCATCGTGATCCTCCTGTCAATCCGCATCGAATCGTATATGTGCTGACTTCGAAAGGTCAAGGTCAATGGTTGACCTCAGGTTACGTGACCTCAAGATCAACATGTAGGTAGGGTAGTGTGGGGTAATTTGAACATATTTTTACGTGTTCTCCGTTGTACCAAATTCCAGCTCAACCCTGGATGAAGCAAAACTGTTTCAGTAGCGCATGTGTCACTTGCTTTTACCATGGATGAGATAATAATGGATTGGTGTCTTCGCAGTTTTTGGCGACATTGAGCTCGGGCCTGCCATCTAGCGGGAGAATTATCGTAAGTTAGGAGCAAGCCGAGTGAACGCCGCTGATTAGCATTGTGACACACGGGAGAGTGGTGTAGTAGCAGGCTTGTTGTGCAATTTTTCAAAAGGTTATGTCTTTATATGTCAGTAAAAGGGAAGAAATTAATAGATTAATGTGCAGGGTCAGTAATAAGATAAGCAGTTCTATGTTATATCTTCATTAAATCGTGAAACAGGGAGTTATTGGAGACTTCGCCAGCACGTGTCGTTTTCGCTATTTTTCACATGAGTCTTTACTTGGCCTAAATCAAACAAATTGTCCGATCAAAGAACAAAACGAGCGTAAGTACTATCTATAAGTCAAATGAAAAAGTTAAACGGAATTGTTAACGTCATTGCCGCTCAATATGTCATTCAAGACGCTCTATGAAAACGGACCCAACCAGTGCTGCATAGTCGATGAAATTTCAGTGACTTTGGCTCCAACTCTGATTCCGGTATCCAAATATCGACTCCGACTCCTCGGGCAGAACTGTCGATTCACACAGACTCCGACTCTGACTCCGACTCTGCAGCCCTGGTAAGTCAGTGGAGCCGATGACTTTTCGGTGACGTTCGACTCATACTCCGACTACAGCTTTTAAAAATCAACCGACTCCGAGTCGGAACAGAACCGCTGGCTCATGGCTGTGACTACAACTCCGCAACTCTGGCCCAAGATAGCCGCCTAAAACAACTTTGGTGTTTGATCTTCGTACATTGTTAATGTTATTTTAAACAAAGAGTGGAAAAGGGAGACGAAGCCTTCACAAACAAGGATCTCCTGTTGCGGATCAATCAGACGCTGGAACAGAAAGGCATAAACACCACGCATCTCATTTTATCGTTTTCCTAACGACTCTGCACCAATGTAAGCACTGATCAATGCAGTGCGAGCATCGATGTGACATTTGTGTACCAAGTTTGAGTGTTATCCGCCCAGCCGTTCTTGAGATATGGAAGCGGCACCCCGCACGTGCGCACGTGCAGTAGCACCCCCATAGTGACACGTGGAAATGCATTGGCCACTGGGTGCCTAACTATTGACGAAGTTATACTGTAATGGGCCCAGCCATTGCGGAGTTACTTTATGTGGAACAATTTCGACACCCCCTAAGTTGGCACGTGGCACGTGCCGTAACATTAACTAAGATGAAGAAAATCGGGCGAAATTCGGAGAAGAAGGAATAAGCCTACTAAATATGTATGACATATTGTCAAACTGCTGTACCATTGTGAGTAAATGACCATATAAAAGGTCGTACAAGCCGATGGGACTGGACGTTTCAATACACACCGTCTTACGCATTTTATTTTCGTTATTACCTAAAGGCTGCGTGACGTTTTTGGCTTTCAAGCATTTAAGACATTTTTTGTCGTCTCAGGTCCAGTAAGATTACCTCCAACTCGTGGGAATATGCACTTCAAGCCAACTAACACACCACACCCACGTGTGTCATAATGCTGAGAGATGGCGTTAACTCGGCTTGCTCCTAACTTACGATAATTCTCTCGCTAGATGGCAGGCCTGATCCCAATGTCGCGGATCCCAATGTTAATTTCCACGAGACACCAATCCAGTGTTATATCATCCATGCTTTTACCATGCAAGCCTCATTTTTGGACGAGCCGAGCATACCTTGAATAGCATAGCATCACTTCTCCACCAAGTCACGGTGTGTTCAAGATGCCCCACCGTGGGGTAATTTGAACATACTGCCTTAACCTGCCATAAAAACGATAGTCTCGCCAGCACCGATGTTGTTTGACCTATAAACGAATAGGCAGAGCAATTCTAAACATACCTTCATTTGAAAAATCAACACAACAAAAATAACAGTTGCAGAGTATCAATATCTGCACGCTGCACACCGGTCAGTTGACAGAATTCGCCTCTCTTCAGTTAACAGAACGTCTATCATCTCCGTTCGATAAAAACTCTACCAAACATTACTTCATCTGTTATAGTGGTGCCAATCGGAACCTGGACATTCGGAGTTCCGATTCTTTATAATGTCCAATTCGGAATTGATTGCACAAAGGTGTAGCAGTCTGGACAACATTGGACGATGGCCTGCCTGCCACACTTAAGCATTTTTATCAAGTAATCGTGCGTAGCATTGATTGGCGAATGGAAAGCTTGTTAAGCTCTCAATATAATGAACACTTTTCGGCTGGTAAAATTACATGATAAGCAATATAAATGACGGTTCATTGAGTGTTGATAGCTGCATAACTTTCGGACATATTTGGACAAATAATTGACTTTAACATTTTTGGACGGAAAATCAACGAAAATGCCGGACATTAGACGGATATTAGACTAAATTGTCTAAAACTGGCATCACTTATCTGCTACTGCTTTGGGTCGAAAATATTGGCAGAAAAAACTGGGAGCTTTGTTTTTTTCGGGGCTATCCCTGTCTTCATTGAAATTATCACACTATGTTCAAATTACCCCACGCTAAAAGTTGTTTTGCCATTTTTAAAAACAGGGTTCGAAAGCAAATTTCTTGGATTGAAGGCACTGATTAGGTCATTGTACAACAAAAGCCGTTGCGTATTAGGCGCTAGCGATGCAAGATTTTGCGCTGCAATGAAGTTGCAATGACGTGTTGCTAGGCATTTATCCTTGCAAAATTGATTTTTTACACTGTGCGTCAGCATCTTCATTCCCTGAAACTTTAAACCCCATTCATACGATAGCCCTTTTGGTAACGATAATTTCTCTCAATGGTCTTACTGTCATGCCACTAATGGATCTTTCGTAATTTTGTGTTATTCACACTATGTTCAAATTGCCCCCCATGTTCAAATTACCCCACCCTACCCTATTGTATATCATTCGATGCGCCTTGACGAGCTGAACATAATGAGACTTTCCACGCGGCTGTATCTTGTTCCTGTAAGGAGTAATTAGCAAAAAAAAAAAACTTCGGTGACCCTTGATGACGTCACATGACCTTACAGCTGCCCAAGAGCAAAAAGGCCTCAAGGTAGTCAAGGTTGATCGTATATGAAGTCATTCATGTATATTGGGCCATTCTAACGCGTTTTAGGGTGAAAAAAACGGGATTGATTTTCCTCCATTGACTTATAATGGGGAGGCCAAGAAGTTGACCTGACCTTAGGCCATCGATATCAAAATTCGAACCAAATTTCTGCTTTCAACTTGACTTATTCATTCCTTCATTCAAAGGCATTAACACTTAACAGTCTTTCCATTGCCTGGGAATCGTATGCCAGGTCCCGTACCTGCATGCGACTGGTGCGTGTCAGGACCAATGTATGAGTTTGAATAGGCTCTGAGCTCTCGCATGCGATTTCCTGGCTGCCGAAGACTCATGTCTGTTTCAGTCATAATATCAACAAGCATGGTATGTCAGCATTGTCACCGGCTCATGGTGCTCTGCTTGGAGTGTCCCTATCCTGCATATCCGTCCCTCACTCCCTCCTCTCCTTAACCCGCGCCCCGCTGGAGTATTATGCCATACGCGCCCTGCTGGGGGGGGGGCAGATTCTGCCCCCCTGTTTAACTTCCGAGCCGATGGTTACGAGCGAGCGAGCGCAGCGAGCGAAGCGAAGTCTTTTCAATACCAGTAAAACGCCTTTTGGGCGAAGAACGAGCGAGCGAGATAGTGAGACCTGCACGTGTGGAAGGGCGAGAGGGTTCTTCCAACGGGCTTGTGCAAAGCACCCTTCTAACCGGTTGCTAGCGGTGTGCCAAATTTGAACGCAATCGGCCCAGCCGTTCCTGAGATCTGGAATCGGCATTCTGCACGTGCACACGTGCAAACGGGGTCAAAACTGACTTTTGCACGGCACCCTACTAACCGGTCCCCAACCGTGTACCAAATTTTAGCGCAATCGGCCCAGCCGTTCTCGAGATCTGGAAACGCCCCCTGCACGTGCGCACGTGCAGTAGCACCCTAACCGCAACACATGGGAATGCATTGCCTGGTGGGTGCCTACCTGTATGCCAAGTTTCAGCGAAATCGCCCCAGTAATTACCGAGTTACTGAAATGGGAACAAAGTTGGCACCTCTTCTTTTTGTATTTTGCACGTGCAGTGGGGGTCACTCACGTAGATCAAGATTATCCGACCTTTGGTAGAAGGGATGCAGCTACCCTACAAAAATTACCGCAAGATAAGCGCTCAAGTCACTGCTGAGATATGGGCCTCTCAAAATCATTACTTTTGCAAAACTGCTTGAGCACCCTTGACTTTTCACGTGGCACGTGCCACAGCGGTCACTGAGATGTGTTAAAAGTAGTCAATTACGGGGTAGAAGGGATGGGGCTACCCAGCAAAAAAGACCGCAGGCCAATCGGTCCAGCGGTTGCTGAGATATAAGTCTCTCAAAAGCGTTACAGGCCGGGCCGGGCCGCTCATACTGAGATTTTTCCGTTATATTGAAAAGACTCGCTTCGCTCGCTGCGCTCGCTCGCTCGTAAAAAGTCAAATAAGCAAAAAGTCAAAAGTGCAAAAAAGTCAACTAAGCAAAAAGCAAAAAACGTAAAATATTTTTGACATTTATACATTTCGATTTTCTTCCATTTGACTTTTATCCATTTTGCATTTGACTTTTTGTCCGGTTACCGTAATATACAGTATACAACTTACAAGTATGTGTAGGAACAGCCCTCAGCAGACTGCGTGGTAGGTATTCTTTTTTCGTTAATACCGATAATAACTCAAAAGCTATGCTATCAAGCGTCGGAACTCACTCCAAATAGATGCGCCATGCTCCACTCCTTCAATTATATAGGTCTATCACTAAACAGAGTATGCGCCTTATGTAGCAAGAAAATGCAAAAGTTTGTTTTTGGGGCAAATATTAACTTTTGGGTTTTGTTGCCAAAATGGATGGAAAATGAGTACGATGATTATGCCAATCTAAGGTGCGGAGTCTCGCGCGTCTTGCTCTTACGATTTCCGAATGACCGATTGCATGGTATTCGCCTTATTCTCGGTTTTGTCGAAAAAAGACTACCTACCACGGAGTTTGCAGAGGGCTGTACATACATACAATAGAAACTGCAAGTCCCTGTACCTATTTCGTACTATCTCTTTCACAGGAACATCTAAATTGTCAATTATCGAAGTTGCACGCAAATGATTTTTTTTTTTTAAATTCTTTAAGACATTTGACTAAAATCAAAATGCATTTTTTAGCGCCTTATGCTGACGAAGAAGTGAAGATTTCCTAGGATCGTGCATGTTGCAATACGCGGCGATCCTGACGACGTAATCAATGAGCATCACGAACAGAGCTCGACGTACCGAACGCAAGGAACACCGCCACGCAGGAATCGCCGTGCGCCGAAGCACTCGATGCCTGGCAGGACTTTGCAGAACACCGACGTATGTTTGACCTCCTCGTACTTTTGACCGCCAAACTGAAAACACACCACACATACAGGGATTAGCACCTTCATGTGTCGATTCAGGGACGACCGGAGCTCACGGAAACCGAGAGCCTACTGGCACGGAACTTCGGCTGCATTAAGATGGAAGCCGTTATCGCCGATATCGATAGCGGCGAGGAGTGGCACACTGGTATATTGTACCCAGCCCAGTGATGCCCCACCCCAGCAATGGCGACGGCTCAGACAACACACATTAGAATTAGAGTTGGAATGTATTTCAAGCTCATCCAGGTAGACATACACCGGCTTTTCATGTGCTTACGTCAGTTGTGGGATAAAAGGCATACACACACGACACTAATACGACATAAAACAATGCAAAAGGCAACTAACCCAATGAAAGAATGCTAAAAGGTACCACAGTAAGTACACACGAGCACGCTCACACCTGCATCTGCCGCGCCTGACCCATGTGTATCCGTAAAGCGTTTTTGAAAGCCGCGGTGCGTCCGTCCCGTACGGAGGGTGGTAGGGTATTATATTCTCGGGCCCCCCGGCAGATGAACATTCTCCTCCCTGTCTCTGCTCTGATGCGTGGTAAAACAAGATGGTCGTCTTGCCTGTTCCCACATATGTTCCCAGCCCAGGACACACTCAAGCCAGTATTTTACAAGCCAATTACAGAACAGACAGATTTCAACATTTGACAGCCAATGCGAAATAAATGGCCGTTGACAATGCCCAACGCCTGCATACCCCTATTAGGCAAAGCAACTACATCTCCGTAAAATGTAAAATCAAAATAACAAAGCACGCAACACAACTAACACTTTTTATTCAATAAAGGCTTCAAAACCACATCCCAAGGGCGTAACATAGCAGTAGTGTGCCACGAGCCACGGAAAATCGGTGCCGGTCGGACGGCTGCCGTGCAGAGTATGGCGACAGCTCGCCGCAACCAACGAGCACGTGCCGGCTTTTCACTCGACAACCGCGCGTAAGACCAGAGCAGCAACACGCATTAGCCCTCGCCGGCACAGAGGGGGGGGGGGGGTGATGCAACCCCCCAAAGGTTTTTCGCGAATAACTCGCGTAAAAAGCGACCGATCGCGGCGAAACTTTCAGTACCCTCGCATTGATCAATTTTACACCTACCCTGAAAATTTCATGACCCGAGACCATGTTTGACCGGAATCGCGATTCGGCGTATGTCGGCTCGCATTAGCCGCGCGTTTGCAAGCTTTTCGTGGTTTCAAACGTTCAAACATGTGATTTGATGTTGCTCCCATGCATTAGGGTGAATGTCAAGGTCACCTAAAGGTCAGGTCAGGTCATTGACCTTTGGTGACCTCGGTTCATTTTTTCGAGTTTTACATGTTACTAGGCTAGTTTTTGGAGCTGATTTCGAATTTAGCAACAATTTGAACATTTACGAAGTAGTGTTGGTGCCTTCGTAACATGTTCCGAAGCTGTCAGAGGCGTTGACACGTATTACGAATACCCGTCACGACCCCTACCGGTTGACCTGACCTGACCTGACCCAACCTGGTCTAAATGCTTAAAGACATCATCTCTGATCAAAACTAATACGATATTCGTGATCAGCACCCCGAAAAACCGATAGCAGCCACACTTTACGACTTTCTAACAGGTCGCGATCTTCCCGATTTTCGGGTCATTGACCTGACCTGCAAGGTCACCTGATGAGCTAGGACCTTAAAATTGGATATCATCGGCTTCCTCTCGTGACGGGCAACACGCTCGTTTTTTCCGCGAAGCTCTAGCTCGTTCGTTCATTAGGGATTACGGGAAGCTCTAGCTCGATCAGAGGCCAAACGCGAGGGGGGGTCGTACAGGGACCCGCAGTTGCTACTGTACACATATATTACCAATTTAGAATTGCGCTATTATTTGCTAAGTGCTGGCCATTGGAGAAAGAAAATGTAGCGCAAAGTATGGAGGAATAACACATGTTTGCTCCTAGCACTTATGTTTTGTATAATTCCTCTTACCGCACCAGATATTCTTCCAAAACTACAATCGTGCTATTTTTCCGCGCCGGTTGCCTCCCCAGAGCCCGTCCTTGGTATCGCCTATAGCTTCCGTTCCCGCTACGTGAATGAAAGTCACGTGACTACTACAGGTTTGCGCTCAGTACTAACACACCTAGCCCGAGGGCCGGTCCGTAGCGGGGAGGGGTAGAACGCCAGAGCTCCAGCGCAGTGGAGGTAGTGGTGGCCCGTATCATAAAGAGGCAACCGTAAGCAGAACTACAATTGCCGCAGTATAAGATTATCCCGCGCCGTGCTGGGGGGGGGCGTTTTTACGCCCCCCCTCAGGTTTTTCGCGAATATCTCAAAAACGGCGGCGCGCAGCGCCGCCGTTTTTGGTACACGTGTTCCTACATCATTTCCGCACATGTTGTGAAAATTTCAGACCTAGGCCGTTCAAGGTCAGGTCACCAGGTCACGTCAAGTGACCTTACCTCAGAAAAAGTTCAAAGGCTCGCTATAGCTACACCGACTGAACGATCACTTTGAAACTTTCAGCGATTGATATGAGTAACAGTATGTATAAAATGTATATCTCGGATTTTTGATATCTGTGACCTAAGGTCAGGTCAATTTTGCGACCTCTCCATTATAAGTCAATGGGAGAAAATTGAAATGCGCCTCTTTTGGACGAATATCGTTCAAAACGCTCTCAAACATCGGTTCATAGGTAAACATGACACACTGAATAGGAAAAATGCACCTGTGACCCCTCTGTGTGCCCCTGAGGTCATCTCAGGTCATGAACGGTCGCCAGCAGTTTTTTGGCTATAACTTTTGATAGAGACGTGCTAGAGCGGTGAAAACACGTCAGATGTGTTCAGCTCGACGATACGGATCGACTGATATGCAACATGACCCTTTTCGGTCAGGTCATGACCTTGACCTGAGGTCAAATTTTCAAAATGACCTTTCAAGGTCAACAAATAGTTCATTCGACGCGTCTCGACGAGAGGAACACGATGCTGGCAAAAGTAATGTCATGGCGCTTATGAGTCAAAAGTTATTGACGAAAAAACGTTTTTCGTAAAAACGGCTATTTTTGGAGTTTTTGCCCTCTGGAGGCTAAACCGTTGACCTGAGGTCAAATCTGAGAACATTACTCAGAAAGGTCTGTAAAAGGGCTATCGAATGCGCTTTTCCGCGGCGCTGTAGCTCTATCGGTTCCCGAGATAGCCGTTGGCAGTTTCCAAAATGTTGAAATAGTCAACATTTTACCTTTGGTGACCTCTGGTGACCTGACCTTTGACCTGACCCAAAAAATGACCAAAGTGTTTTCGTCCTTATTTTTGACGCTCTTTCGATTGCCGCTTACCGCGTGTCGCTACGTAGCCCAGGAGCCGAGTTAGACGGGGGGGCGTGAAAACGCCCCCCCCCCCCAGCACTCGGCGGAAAGTTCAGGCCACCAGCACGGCGCGGGTTATGATCAAGTTTTCTTTAAATGTATTGATTGACAAGAAAGTGCAATGCTTATCCGATATAATGAAACGGTGTCCAAGGCCTTGGAAGAACTATAAAACATATTCAGCAACGTATAAATTTCTGATACAGGCCATGACCTTTCACCTTGCCTCCGGGGAGGACCGCTCAGGAAGCCACATACCGAACGAATCGAGGCCTCGCAGCGCGGCGGCAGAGGAGGTGGATAAACCATCGCCAGATCTTTCGGTTACTTATGTTTCCAGAAAAAGGAGGGGGAGGGTGGAAGATGAGGGCTATTTTAACCCACTCACCAATCATTTCCTTATTAACTTATAGCTTACCGAAAAAAACGCAACACAATGGTGGCCGTCACGAGATGAGGCGAAGAGTGCCACACCGGTTTTGAGTAAACTTTAAGCATTGGAATTCAGGTCAGTGATCCTGAAGCATTATTTTATTTTTGTCGTGCATAAGCTGGGATGACGTGGTCCAAGTTAACCCGCGCCCCACTGGGGGGGGGGCTATTTATAGCCCCCCCTCCCGTTTTTCTGCAATAACTTCCAAACCGCTTGACGGATTGACGCCAAACTTTCAGTACCTTCGGCTGCATCAATTTGACACCTTGTGTCAAAATTTAAACTTCGTAGCTACCATAGGTCGGCCGGAAATGACGTCAGAGTGACGTCATGTTCGTCCGATTTCGACGCAAAACATTGAACCACGGCAATCGCTCCCAAGAGCTCAGTTTTTAATCTAGATCCAGTTTCTTTGCATGAAAGGACTCAGAATTGACCGCGCTATCAAACTGCTATCTCGGATTTTCAAAATTTTGAAAATTTCGAAAATTGTAAATAATAATATTCAAAATTTATATTTTTATATTTTTTTCAAAAAGTTTTTGACTTTTCGAAAAAACCGGAATATATGTGACAGAATGCATGATTATGACTAACTCTAGCAAGTTTTAGCTAAATATCTTCAAAAATGGCCAAGTTATACGCATTATTGCAAAAAAATTCACAATTATTAATTTTTCAAATCAATTTTTTCAGTACGTATTTGACATCGTACACCAATATAAATGGCACCATCGTGTTCCTGAGCTCAAACTGCATCCAATAGACACCTTTTTTGTTGAAAAATTTTAACTTCAAAATTTGACCTTTTTTGACCTGAAAGTGACCTGACCTAAGCTAAATTCGACTCAAAATGACCTCGAATGACACAGACGACATCAAATTCGAAATCTATGGCCTAAATGGACCATAAAACATGTGTCACGTGACCGACGCATGATATAATATTTTCGTGACCTGTGATGACCTGACCCTGACCTGAAAATCAAAGTACAAGTTTGGTACCCTCAAGGTATCTAGAGCATCTGTTCACGAGTGTGGAAACAAAAAATGAGCCTGATCTGACTTGTAAGACGGCGGCCAGAGCCCAAAATGTGAACAAGCAAAAATGCTAATAATTTTTACTTTGACCTGACCTGTGACGTCATCGGTGACCTCGAGGTCAATGAAATTAGGTTTCGCTCGACAGTTTTTCCGGGGC